TGTGGATATTTACCAGAAGTACGTGGTATCTTGATCTTGCTAAGTGATGCTAGCTCTGGAGTCAGATCCGCAAAAACCAAAACCAGACCATCATCCATGAAAGGAAACCACTGGTTCTTGCAGTCCTTAAAGAAACAGGACACGAAAACCTCTAGAAAGAAATAGTATGGCAATCCATTTCCATCTGTTGACCTTTCACTTTACTTTTGCAAAAAGCAAAGAGCAAAAGGAACGTGCTCTCATCACTGAACATCAGGAAATTGACAAATTTAATCCGCAAGAGCCAAACGACTCTTCAAGGATCCTCCTCTCCGCAATCTTCCGCCAGGGGTATCCCTATCACCGGGACCAATGCGCCAGTGCTTTGCGAGTGGCTGAAGATCTCAATATATCTTCCTCCAATCGACTGTCGATCTTTTTGCCGCCTGTAGCAGGGACGAGTTAATCCACCCGTTTTGGATGGTTTGAATCACCATGGTTGGACATGTTTGGATGCTAAAAATTCACCATTTTCGGATGCTTTTTCTTCGCCATTTGATCACAACAGTTCCGTGGCCAAGTCAACCACCCCGAGCCGTGACTCTCCACCTGGCTTCCTCCGCGCTGCTGGTATCCACAAATTGGACCCAGGCCTGGCGTGAAAGTCTGACGTTATGGTCACCAGAGACCCAGTTTACTAATGTGGATTGTTATGGATTAGTACTATTGATTATTAAAAGATATTAAAAGTAACACCATTGTTGTTAACTAGTGTGATTGCTATATGAATAACACACAATGGTTATGTTATTAATAAGTATGATCCATTTATAGGATGAATCGCCATTGTTATTATTACAATGAATAACACACCATTGTTATTATTAATGTTATACTATGATAGGTGATTAGCAACTATATAATGTGTTTGTTGCTATGTTTAATTCCCTTAATAACTATGATAGTGTTGTTGTTACAATAGTAACAACTGAGTAGAATTATTCTGGGATTCAGCCAAGAAAAACTAAACTTGTTGTTGGTTGTTATTATTTACTAAGAGGTTTCTATACTATACTGATGATGATGTTGTTGTTACAATAGTATCATTTTTATTATGTAGCTATTTGGTAAACAGTATATAGTATTGTCATTATTGTTAACAGCAATCGTAATAATAGTAAATGATGACAATGATGATAATAAGAATAGCAAGAACACCACACACCACTATTAACAAAAAGGAAAGCTTAATAGTAAAAACAAAGGACATGATAGTAAGAATACTGTGCCAATAATCGTAATGGTTGATAATTGTAGTTGTATTAACAAACCATCCCCACACTTAGTTGATGGATTGATTCACGATAGAACTCAGAGGAGTCCGTAGATTTTCAACCCCAAACTCAGAATGTATCCATAAATATCCATAAACCAATTCTGAGAGTTTCCCAAGTCTGGCAGTTGGAGGGTATCTCGCGCTTTTGTCAGTTCATGTTTGGCTTCACAATACTAAAAGCTTTGGATACCCCGCAAAAAGGTTCAATGGTAATAAGCTATACTGCATGGATGGCAAACAGATTTAGGTTATCTGATAAATATTGATGTTTCCATGGCCCAAAAAACCTGACCCATGTGCGAAGCCAACAAACCAAGGTTTATCTGGCTCAAAACCCATGGAATCCCCGGATGAAGACCAAAATAGCTAGGAGCTTTGGATGTTCATCACTACTGGTATCACCCAAAACATGGCAATTCAGAGGTATTGTCTCCCCATATTAGCCTTTCTCCTTGAAACAATCCTCTCAAAAACAGCTGCAACACAGGACAGAGTTGGACTCTCTGTGGAATGGAAGTCCAAAAACCGACAGGTACCCAACTCAAGTCGACAATGTTTGATAACTTCAGGGGTCTCCCCATGATATCCTAATGATGATGCTATCATTAAATCACCATTCTTGATGGTTAAATCACCATGAAATCACGGTGCTGTACCTCTCCACTGGGTCGACCATCAAGGTTCGTTCCCAGGATGACATTGTCCTGGTGGTCGCAGTGGATGCAACTCAGATAGGCCGTGCTTTTGGAACTGAAAACCGAATGAAATCCACAGTTCAAGCCCCAAATTTCGCAGCATGGCGCTTCAAAAATTGCACTCCTCCACTACTCCAAAGTCTCCAAAGAACTCGGAGACCTTGAAAATGGGGGAGTGCACTGAGTGCACCCTCAGAATCCCTGAGAAATGGCCATTCTATTGGTCAAAACCATGATCAACCATGGAATTTTGGGGCACCCTACTTTCAAACAAAGCCATATATGGCTAAGTCACTGCCACTAGCAGCAACTTCAGCCACAACGTTGCACATGAGTGCAGCTAAGGGGGGAATCATCCTAATGTGTTTGGTGTGTTTTGTTGAGCTTGCCCTTTTTAAACTGAATAGCAACTGGCCTTGCAATCTACTGTATATTGGGTCATGACCCCAAATATAAGTGGACCACTGTAAACCTATAAACCTATACTTGGGGTTTGCCAACCAGGGTTCACCAAGTACCGATGTAGCACCTCAGCTGCTCCAGAGCTAAATGGAAGGCCTTGGCCGCGGCTGAGCTCAGTTTCTTCAGCAAATCCAGCGAAAATCGTTCCCAATGCAGGGCTAATCTCTTGGAAGCCAGGTGTACATGGACCCCAACATGCCCCATGATTGGGGGCACTATCCCATTGCTAGGGGTATACCCAACAATAATCCCCAAGTATGGATTGTTTGTTGATGGCTATTTAAAAAAAATGAAATACAAGATAAGATAGAAGAGGGAATCCTTGCTAATTAATATATACACGTTGATGGTCATTCTTGTTGCTATCTCTCCGGGGAAAGGGCAAAGGGGAAAGGTGTATTTACCCTAGCCACCACCCAATGCAGTGTATCCTTGCAACCTCAGCATACCCGGTTTCGGTTCCACCGGATCCAATATCAACTATCAGAGCAAACAGTCTGCTGATATTGATCTATAATAAGATATGGATATCGGATACAGTACCCTCTACCCTCCAAAAACTCAAACTGGCAATGGAAACCTCCCCATGTATGGATTGTATGTTCATCTTTTCGCATTGAAAATGGTGATTTCCGAGCCATCAATGTTCGATTAGCAAGTGGCATATATATATATATATATATCACTTTAGCTTTCAATATCAACCATCTTCTTCCACTCCAATCCAAGCCCCTCTTTTCTATCTGGGCATATCTGAAAATCCGGTACAGTGCCCCATTCCATCCACTGATTTATCATTATTTCTAAATGTACACTAAGCATTATCAGACAAACCCAAAATCATATCAAGTTGGTTGTATAATGTTGTATATATATATCCCATCATATCATATAATATCCCCATTCGATCACCATTTTTTTGTCGAGTTCAATCATGTTAAATAAATACCCCATTGTTTGTTGGTGAAACCACCGACTTTCACAGGCGTCCCAGCCCAAACACTACAGTACAGCCCAGGCCTCGCAAGCGCAAGTAGCCGGCGCCAGGATAATCCTGGGGTACTGCCCAGAGCCCCAGACATGGGCTGAAAATTTGGAGGAAAAACAAAAAAAATCAGAGGTTGGTCCTTATCATCTTCCCCATTTATATACAGTATATCAATGCTGTTTTGGGCCATTTCCAGAGACCCAAATCAAGGTGTGCGAAAACAGGAGACGATGAAGCCAAAACGTTCCGTCAATACTTCCGTCTTCGGATGGTGAGACGGTCACTTGAACAGTCAACCATCGCATCTTTTACAGGTACCCAGTGACTTGATTTGACACATATATCATATATATATACATAATTATATATATATGGTGTGTATATATATATACATATATACACATGGTATCTCGGTGTTTGGATACCTGCTTGCAGCGCAGGTTGCCTGGAACATTTTCGCCATCGAGCGCGCGACGGGTTTGTTTCGGTCCACGTCGTAAGCGTGTCCGGCGGAAGGCAAGGAAGACAAAAAAACAAGAAGCCAACATGATATTGATGGGGAAGCGACTACTCCTTATGATCTTGCGCAAGCAAACTTGACTTCTTTGGCGAATGACATGACATAATCAATCATATCCAACACCTCTCTGATTCTCCGTGAATGTTTTCCAACAATTGCAATCTTGTTGTAGTGAATGTTGCTTACATGTTCACCTTTCCCAGTTAAGTTTCTGAGAGGACTTGCGTCACCGAGTCATCACTGTGAGTTCGGCTAGTTCCCCCCACCCAAAAAAAAAAACATTGTCTATATACACCCAAATTCTGAGCCAATGGCGACAACTTTGTGACCTTGCTCTCAATCACAAGTTTAAGCTCTCAAGTACCGCTTTCCTAAGAGCAAGACTGCTGGACAGTACCATCTCCACTTCACGAGCCAACTGAGAGTTCAGGCCCAAATTTTCCTGTTGCTATGAATATATATATATAATTAGATAATCATGTACAGTATATGTATAAAATATCATTTCGCCATTTTTGGGTGGGAAGCAAAGACCCATCAATAGGGGCCACTATTGAGTGCTACACATCGAGCTTTTGGGATCAAACATTTTGAGTTACCCTTTGCACTATACTCAGCCCAGCGAACAGATGGACCATACAAGCAATATGTGGAATTCAGACTCTCCAAGCAGCAAGTAGTATCAGTACGCTTCCCTGAGTGATACTGGAGCTAAGCTGTGAACTAGAACGCAAATTGATGGATTGGTAGGGGCACCAACTAAAAAAATGCCCTTTCAAAATTGCCCATGCTCAAAACTTGTTGGGGACTATCACCCCGCCCTGAGGTTCCATCTCCCATGAAGTTTATAGCATTGCGCATACCCTCCTAGTAGTGGGCTGTTGAGAAAAAAGACACCAAAACGCTTGGGTGCTGGAAAGGTTTATGATAATGTCATGCTTAAATCCCAACTTTTGATGGTTATTTTGATGGTTAATTCCCAATAGATTTTTTGGTTTACTACACCAGTCAGGTTCTTTATCAGCGCCACTCCATCGCTTGCACCAGGTGTGGTTGCTTTGCCACTCCATGGTGAATCTCTTGTCCGGTCAAACCATCCAGCACGATCACATCCTTGCACCGCTTGGGAAGATCATGTGGGGCCCCCAAACTATGGCAAGCTGGTGCTTAACTACAGTAGAATGACTACGGTGTATATCATGTAGTTTATGGTCAGTTGTATGTATATGTATATATATATATATGTAGGTAGATAGAGAGAGAGAGGCTAAGTTTATGTCAGGTATATCACATAATTATATATAAATAATATATATATATAGGTATAGCTAGATGGGTGAACATAAACCAACATATAAGTGGGGGCTCCATATTGGAAAATGGAGATCTGGGCCACAGCCATAGTTTTTGCCATGAAGTTTGACCAACCAAAACTGGAACTTCTGGTGAATATCTATGTACCTAGACCCTCCAAGTACCTACAAAAAAAGGGACAACCTACCCATTATTTGGGAACTCTTAGCCCTTAGCAATTTTTCATGGCTACTTGGAATGGTCTAAGTAAAGTCCAAAACTGTCGGCAATGAAACTGATGCAGTCTCCTCAAAGGTGGCCACACGGCAACGCCCATTGTTTATAGACTGAAATCATCTATAGATGACCATGTTCATTGGCTATGTTAAATCACCTGTACCACAGGATACCACAAGATACCAGAGGATACCAGAGGATACCAGAGGCCAAACTAGGATATTCCCTCAAATTGCCATGGCCACAGGGGCAGATCGCAGTGGAAGTGGTCGGTCCTTGCCCGAGGCGACAGCCAAAAGCCACTGCGCCTTCTGCTGTCCATAGCGAAGGATGCCCACCAGCGCAGGTTTGATGTGCAGAAGCCGCAAGCCTCGCCAGGGCTTCAAGCTGGACTTGACCCATAGACATGCTCAAATAATCACACTTGTGTTGTCACGCAGATCTCTACAATCGCCAAAGGCAGCCCCATACAGTACAAAAGCTATTGAAACTGGGTAGCTGCAAATATCAAAGCTGCACAGGTGCAGTTCTTGCCCTCTCTTTTCGCAGCTCAAACACCGAGCTAGTTGTTAGGTAATCCTTCCGATGTGGACGACCCAATAGCCACCCATCCCAATCTTATCACAAACATGTGGTATAGACCATCCCCAATTTGAGGTTTATGATTGAGGGTTTACCACATGCAGAATTTACAAGAACGTAACAAACAAACAAATATACGTATAAATTAAACAGATATGACTACGCCGACGAGAAAGTTCATGACAAAAGCCCTCTGGAGATGGTACTAGACCCCCGCCTAGTAAATAATGATGAAAAATATTGGACAGGGAATTATTGTATACTAGCTATAGTTGTTCTGATTAGACAACGCATATGGGAAATGGGGTAGACCCAAAAGATGTGTTTTGCAAAGCGCAAAAACGATAACAAATCAATGGATGGAATCTCTGTCTCAGAGGAACTCATATATGACCTTCAACATAGGTAAACATGGGTGTGCATCCCAAGGCACAAAACATTGTAGTACAACCTAGATATATATATATATATATGTATGTATGTACGTACGTACGTACGTATGTATGTATGTATAGATAGATATATATGTATAAATACCCACAGACGCCGTGTGTTGCCCAGACATTACCATTGAGAATGTCGTGTTGTCGAATATATGATAGGAGAGATTGCAGAAAATACATGAAAATACTGCTTATACGCAGTGTTTTCCAGTTTAGGATTCAAAGTTTTCAGAGCCTAGGTTTTAGGGTTTAGGGTTTTAGGGTTTGGGATTTTAGGGTTTGGGGTTTTAGGGTTTAGGATGGTTTAGGGTTTTAGGGTTTAGGGTTCGTCGTCTGGGAAATCTCAAAACACTGGCCCTGCGCAGTGTTTGAGCATGTTGAAGGATAATGTTTAAACATGTTCGCTGCAACCTGGACGTTTGCCCGGAGTTGATGTCCCGCCTTCCTGGTTTTGATCCCTCATGAAGATAAAGTTGATGTTATTACCCCATTCAACATATTGGTCATAGGGGGTGGCGAATTTTGATCCCTCATGAAGATAAAGTTGATGTTATTTCACCAATCAACATATTGTTCTGAGGAGGTGGCAAATTTTGATCCCTCATGAAGATAAAGTTGATGTTATTACCCCATGCAACATATTGGTCATAGGGGGTGGCGAATTTTGATCCCTCATGAAGATAAAGTTGATGTTATTTCCCCAATCAACATATTGTTCTGAGGAGGTGGCGAATTTTGATCCCTCATGAAGATAAAGTTGATGTTATTACCCCATTCAACATTGGTCATAGGGGTGGCGAATTTTGATCCCTCATGAAGATAAAGTTGGTGTTATCATCCCAATCAACGTATTGTTCAGAAGGGGTGGCGAATGATCCCTGATGAAGATAAAGTTGATATTATTTCCCCAATCAACATATTGTTCTGTTATGTCACAATCATGAGTCTGGGCGAACGTTAAGGTTGCGGACAACATGTTTAAACGCCATTTGAATCTTCCGGGCAACACACAGCACCTGGCCGTATAAATACATAGAGATAAATCCAAAAAAAAATATAGGAATATTCCCCACTGTACATGGATCATGGCAATATTCCTATAGATTTGCATGCATCTATGCACATATACACATCTGCCCCCTGGTAATTCAACATAGCCATTATTCATTGGTAAATCATCTATATTCATCTATGAATGGGCCATCTATACCATAGTTTGGTGAAAAATTACGAGGATATATCCCCAGTTGAGCAGTGTTCAAGACCCTGTGCTGTATCTTTATACTGGTTGGTTAAGAAGGGGCTCATGGATTGTGATAACCCCCACCATCTTAGACAGTCTAATCCCCCCAAAAAATCATCGACCAACCATCATTTATCTATTGTATCCACTAAAATATCCCCATTTTTTCATAGTTAAAGCCTATGTTTATTGGATTCTTCAATGGCTCAATCATCCACCCGGGGAAAAACCGATCCTTCCCCCCCATCCCCAGTGAGATCCTGCCACCGGTTGCCCCTTGGGCCAGCGTTTAGAGGCCATCCCGGACCAGCGGCCCGAGCCCTTGGGCGAGGCCAGGTCCCCGGCAGCCGTCAAGGACCAGACCTGACAGGTCGCGACAAGGTCGGGTCCAGGTCGGATCCGCGGGACGATGGCGAAAGGTTCGTGAACCAGCAACATCCTTTTTTTTCTGTTTGGTTATATCATGTTATATCCCATTTATTGATATGTCACTGTGTGGTTGGTTCTATCAGTTCTATCCCACTATATCCCACTAAATATTCCACTAGTCAATGGGATATAACCAAACGTAAATGGTGATCTATTGGGTATGTATGTATATATATATACATATATATATATATATGGGATGAGTCATGGGATATAAAACCAACAATTAGGGTTATCATGTTTGGCGTGTTATCATTACCATTCTGATATGACCATATTATGGGGAATGACCCTTTGTTAATGATAGTTCCATGATATTCATCATATTGTGTGTAATGATATACAGTAATTCCAATTGTTCGTTTCCCATAATATAAAAAAAAAAATAGTTATAATAAATATCATCAAAATATCATCAACGGAACCATACCATTGTCATAATAATTACAAACAAATAGTTTGGGACATCATATATGTAGATATTGTAATGGTATGAGTTCCTTAGACCATCAATATCTACACAGATTATTTATATATATATGTTTAATATACTAAAAACACAACATATACATAGAGTTTCTGCTTTGACATTCCTCTTAATTGTGTACATTAATGTGTACACATATACATATTGTATATGTATATATGCGCAATAATGTGTATCCATATATGCATAAGCAATCGCACTTCAAGGCCAATATCCAAGCTTAAGGCCTACAGGATCCAGGCGTTCGCCCAGTTATAAACCAACTTGCCGATCTAGGGGCTTCCTGTATGTATTGGTGATGTATAGGTACATACTTGCATAGAGACAGTCCAGAGTCCATCCATCTACATGCACATACATATTATATATATATATAGTTGCATGCTTTTTCTCAGCTCTATATGTATACATATATATATGTCTACATATATACAGTATATATATTTATTTATTTATACACGTTATATGTATGTGGGGTGATATGGCTATACAAATTGGGGACAAAAAATCCTGGGACATGGTTTGGATAATCACTAACGAACAACCACGATCAAGCAAAAAACATGGGGAAAGAAACAACGAAGAATAACAGAACTCACTTCCAATTTTGAATATACATCATGTTCATGAACATTCATGAACACTCAACATTAATGAATGGCCAGCCAGTACCTACAAGGTAATGTGTGAATGACAAACCGCCAGAAACCTACATAAGAAAGAAATCACCAACTAATCCAGGGTCAGTCATAAACAAAAATGTGTAGATAAGTACATATCTATATATACTTATACATATATATATATATACATAGTCATGTCAGGACAGCTCTATTTTTCACCACGCCAGGTGGGTTTGCACTGATGGCTTTCCATCAGTTGGAAAAGGAAGGCTTTACAGCACCCCTGCCACACCACAGCCCCTGCCAGCACAGGGATGCTTACACCTGGTCCCTGCTTTGCGAGGGATTTAAAGTACCACAATTCCGCACGTGCATGCATGCATTTATCAAAAAGACACACGTGTCGTGTGTATCATTGACACATCCATGCGTACATACAGGCATACATACAAAGCATACATAGCGACAGGCAGATAGACATACGAACAAACATAAAGCCAAATGCATCCCTCACCCCATGGTGACATGACGCAAGTTCAAAGAGAACGAATCAATTTCAACAGAAGAATCCAGAAATGCAGTAACAAACCCACGGGCTATTGCGGGCGGTGGTCCAACTACCCAACAGTTGGAATACCTATAGTTATACCCAATACATTTATTCGGGACAATGATGATAATCTGATAATGTGGGTTAAACGATAATAAACCACCTCATGTTTGATGGTTTATACCAGCCATCAAAATGGTGATTATGGGGATGGTCATTATTGTTTTAACAGCAGTAATCAATTGGAATTGGGAGCCTAATTTTAAGACAACCCGCTGAAACCTGGCGAGTGTCTGTGACGCTGCCAGAGGCATCACCCGCGGCCAGCATCAGTGCAGGGAGCTCCTGATCCACCTCGGCACCACGGGGATGTGGGACGTTCACCAACAATTTGGTTTTAACCACCAAAAAGGGTGAGTTCACCAGCAAAAATTGTCACTTTACCATCAAGAATATGGAAAAAAAAAAGCAAAAAATGGTGAGTTAACAAGCCAAAGTGCTGGGTTAAGCAGCAAAACCGGTGAGTTAATGACCAGCAAAAACTTGGATTTCATCAGCAAAGAATGGTAATTCAACAAGCAAAAAATCGTTAGTGAACCAGCCAACAATATTCAGGTTCTAATGTGCAAAAAATGGTGAGTTGACCATCAAAAACGGTCCGTGAACCAACAAAATGTTGGATTCAATTCAATCATCAAAAACGGTGAGTTAACCAAGAGAAATTGTGAGTTCATCAACAAAGATGGGGAGTTCACACGTAAAATAGGAAACTGTCTGGGAATAATGAACCATCAAAATAACGAAAATTGGGAGTTGACCAACTTTCACTTGGATCTTTGGGAGAAACCTCTACAGTAGAAGAAAACCAGGTTTGAAGTTTATAGACATTGTGGTGTCACTGTGTAATCTTTGTAGTTTACAGCTTAGATCTATACAATCTCCGTTCATCTTTTTGACTCAAAATTGCGGGACCCAGGACTAATCCTCCATCCGCCAGTCAAGACAAGTGGCACTGGCCACAGCCAAGTCCTCAGTGGTTTTTAGTGATTTCAAAAGTTGTGAGAAATAAAGATTAAAAATCCTTCGCCTCAAAATTTGGATTGTTTTATGTCAAAAATAGTGTCTCCATTGGTACCCAGTATTTAAGCCGTGGCCATGTGGAGGTGGCTCATATCATGAGTAATCCCTTCCCCCTATTACTAAACGGTCCCCCCCCAAAAAAAAAAATAAACACCTGGAGGAGTTTTAGAGGGTATTTAGTATTAGGGTGCGAAGCTTCCCCCTAATATAAAATAAAACCCTAATATAAAAAACTATTTTTTCTATTTCAAAATCGATTAGATGTCCTTTTAAAATCCAACTAAAATATTGCTCAAATTTGGATTTCGAAGCTTTACCCGGATATTAAACTAAAAACCTTAATATAAAATACGTTGTTTTTTCCGATCTTGAAAGACGGATCCTAATAAAAAACACCCTGGGTTGACTATGTTTTATTATTAGGGGGTGAAACCCTGAAATCGGCCTTCATTTTCAATTTGTCTTCGAAAGGGGATCAATTAAAAATTAAATTGGCCAGTCTGAAATTTCCCGAAATTCAACACGGACCCTAGTTTTTAGTATTTGTGGTACGTTTACTAATAGGGGAAGGGATTGTCCTTCGCTGGAGTAGGGACCACTATACATTTGAAATGGTGTCAACATCTGTTTCAACCAACACACAAACAGTGAAAATGCAAATGGGAACGCAACAGGTGTTGGGGGCCTGTTGCAAACCAACTAATTTGATTACAAAGGCTGACACCCAAAGGATCATCGCAACTACAGTAGTAAGTTGCTTGTTTGAAAAAAAATGGTAAAAGATTGTCAACCAAGTCCCCAAAATGACCGGGGTTAGCAGATTTGGGCTTGTCCAAAAACAGGATTACCCTGGAATCCACTGTCTTGTCATCACATTCCCTGTTCGAATCGCTATTTTAGGCCATACTCATGCTGGGACTGGTTTTTGTCTTGATTATCATTATCATATTGTCGGTTACACATCCTATCCCACGATAACCCATTTTGACGTTCATTTTTCAGACCTCACAAAATTGTAAGTAGTTTTGGTTGCCCTCTGGTGATCAAATATGGTTTGCTGGAAAGCTGCAATTGATTTCGAAGATTGTTCCATTGAAAGCCCCATTTAGTGCGGAGATTTCCCAACCGTGTTCGATTGACAAACCAAGTTATGTCATGTTATATCAAATATCCCACAAATCAAGCTTTCTTGGGGACATGCAACTCGAAGAACCAGTGATACAGCTTACCCTCTGGTAAACGTTTACATAACGAACTGGAAAATCATGGAAAATCACCATTTTTCATAGGTAAATCAACCATAATCACCCCATCAATGGCCATTTTCTAGGCAGCTCGGCATCCTGGGCCCCCTGGTGCCAAGGCTCCAGGCAACTAATGACCATGACTCCGTCCCTGGGGATGTTCCACGCCACGTGGACCAAAGGAGGATCCACTGGATCCACTGGATCCACTGTCCAACCTGAGCAGCCAGCTGGGCAATGAATGTTCATCCCAAAATATGGATATGATATGGATTTGATACCCTCTGGTAATTTAACATAGCTATTGAAAATCACAATGTTTAATGGGTAAATCCACTATTAATGGCCATTTTCAATAGCTATGTTAAATTACCAGAGGGTATGGTATATGGATCTGGTATGATATGGATTTGATATGGTATGATGTATGATGGGTAAACTGACCCACTGACCCATACCCCGCATAGAAGCAAGAAATCGGTCAAACCACCAGTTTTGGGTCAGAGTACAGCATGTCCAAGATCCCTACATGGCTGTGGCTCAAATTCTTGACCCCCGAAAGCGCTTGAAGGGGAACAAAATGCCAAGTTTTGATTGTGTCACAAACAGCATATACAGTAGGTTGATCCACATTGCTTAGTTACATGTCCATCATGTCCTTTGTTTGATTAAATTTACATTGTTGGTTGACTAAATGCCCCTTGCTTCCTCAGCTTCGTTGTTGGTTCCCCCTTTTCGGTTGGCTTATGATGAAATCCATGAAATCCAAGTTGGTGTGCCATGGTCAAAACATTGTTGATATTAATGGTATGGCCATTCATCCCAGAATCGGAATCCCAACATAATGTAAAAATAATGGGTATAGAAAATTCATGAAAATTCTCTAAATTCCTATGAATTGATGACCATACCCAAAAAAAACCTGAGAACATCATCCAAGTTTTGACCATGGCACATCAATCTCGACCCCTTGGATTTTTCGCCTCGCGCCTTCTAGGCCACCCCGTTGGTACGCCAGGACCACCAGCTTCCCCGCGCCCGGCAGAGATGCAATGGAAGCCGCAGAGATCTGGGACCGTTGGGTTCGACTAAGTCATGGGGGATCCCCAGTCGTCACCATGATGGGTTTCAAGGCAAAGTCATGGTCTAATGACCGGATGATCTGGGGGTACCCCCATTGGAGGAAATCCCCAGTTAAATTAGTTGCAAGAATTGAAGCCAATTTGAATGGGTTTGAAACATGATGTTCCTGCAGCATGAACCTTGGTACTTCGACGCAAAATCCCATTGGGTAAGTGGGTAATAACACGTAATAACCATCGTAGAAGCCAGTTCTATGTGGCGTCTTAACCAACTGTGACCGACTTGGATGCAGATCACTAGAACTAGAAACACTGATTGATAGTTAATCTCCTTGTGGTTCATTATGGTTCATTCCTTGTGGTTGATTCCTTCCGGTTCACCCCTGACCATTGATCGACCCCATGTTCTTGCTGAAATCCGCATCTTTTTCAGACAAACCTCCTATGTCTTGTTCCTTTCATCCACCTTATTCAGTTGCCCGAAAATCATGGAATTTCCCACTGTTCATTGGTGAAGCTCCAATGTTTCAATGGTTTAAACTCACAAATCACAAATCGGGCCACCTGCGAAGCCCCTCCATGGAGATGTTTTAGCTCAACGGCTTCGTTGTCATCGGGGAGGGAGAACAGCATCACGTTGTCCTACGGAAAGTGACACCGGTTGAAGCGCTCGATTTATGTAATTTAAATATATTTAATGGGAGTTGGTGGGATTTGAAAGGGATTTACCCAACAAGAATGATTTTACTTACCAATAGATCGTATAACTATTTTTGTTTGGAAAGGTGGTTGCCAGTGCCATGGCACCAGGTTTGACCCCGAGATTGGCGAAACAACCCAAGGACTGGGGCAACACCCAAACTGCAGTTTACATACGCAAGAAAAGGTTTGTTTTTTCCGTTCACCTCTTCAACTGTAGATCAATCTCCACATATCTCCACCATAAGTCTTGACTCCAACATTGTACATATAAACCAACTTATCACCTGTCATAAATTAGTCATAAATCAACCAGAAATCATCATTTCCGATCATTTCCGCTACGTCGCTACGAAGCAGTTTCAGTCTGATCTCGGGGACCTGGCCTGGCTCGCTGCCAACAGCAGGCTGCCATCCTCCTCATACAATTCACGCACAAATTGCAACTTTCAGCGCATTGGTTGAAGGGAAAATGGAAACCGGAAACCATGGTTCCTACTCCCATATATACATATATAATGTGTATATATATATATATATCACATAGATAATTATATATATATATTATATATACAATATATTATATACACATATAATATATTATATCATTATATATAATATATACCATGGGTGTCCTGCGACATTTCCCTGCAAGCGCTCCTGGGACACAAGTAACTAGGGGTTCAACAACTGCACAAATGTCGGCCACATGTGCTTGTTGGGAAGAAAGTCATAGGTAGTGACCTATGATCATCTGATTACCTGTATTGCCACTGGCCAGCTGGGGCTGAGAGAAAAGTCCAGCAAACTAAGAATGTCAAATACCCCAAACATGGTACCCAAAACGCAGAGATCCAATACTTTACTAAATTAAAGTCTCAGGTGTTTTTTTAATATTGGGAAATTCATATGGGGATTGCCAACTACCAAGACAGGGTGCAAGTTGCCGAAGTTCTGAAGAGATACTCTGATATGTTGAGTTGCATATCGGGAACTCATTCCGCAGGGAAAATCTCCAAAATCAGCCACCCTCGCCGCCATTTCAAGGTGCAAACCAAAAAATATAGGCCATGATCGAATGATATGATATGACTATGCGAAATCCCCCTTCACTCAGAAACTTCACATCAAAATCTATCAGATCTGGATGTCCATTCCCTGTCATAAAAAAAGGTATGTCCAAGAATGGGACCCGGAAATTGCAATGTGGAAACATCATGACACTCCGCTAGAATGAGGGGGCCCGCCATTTGTGCTAGACCTGAAAAACCAGAACACATGATTTGACCCATCCTCACGTTTTCAATCTTGACCCCTACCCTCCGTTGGCCTCCTTTGATGACATCCTCTGTGTTGGGAAAGCTCCCGTGGACCCCTGACCCAGCCAAGCATCGCTCAGCACTGCCAGGGTTACGCTCTCCCAGTCATGGTGAGAAACCTGGACCGGTTTAGAGGCCAAAATGTCGGCCAAGATGGTCAAAATGTCGGACCGAGACTTTGGCTACCTGGGAAAAGTCACTAACAAATGGTGACTTTTTATACAACTCGCCATGTAGAAAAAATGGGGTCCTTTTGGGAAAATCTTCGTCAGTATTGAACATGCCATTAAAAATCCCACTTCCTTGCACCAAATAGGGGGTTCCTAAAATGGGGGTTCCCCCCAAATCATCCATTTTAATTGTGTTTTCATTATAACCATGCATTTCGGGGATCCCTCATTTGTGGAAACATATGAAACATCCAAATCCTGACCGAAGTAAGTAATCGGTAAGTAATCGGGAAGGGGAGACTTCCTTGGACCTTCTTAGATGCTTTTGTGCACTTCGTTGCGAGCTTGCCGGGTCAACCTCCATTCCAATGTGTCTCCATTTCACACATCCCTTCTGTATTTCTGTTATCTTCTGTGTGTATGTTTATTTTTTAGTCCCATGATTTCAGATTAACCTCCGCACGGTTTATCTCGCTGGTGTTGGACCCCCTAACCTCGTCCTTCTCCAAGCACCACTGCTTTGACAAGGGAGATCTTCGATCTTGGGGATATCGTTGACCAATACCCTTGGGTACTCAAATATGGAAGGCTGGAAAATCTTCTATGAACAGAAGATTTAATGAGAATATCATCTATATATAAATGGGGAGTTGTCCAATGCTATGTTTGACTTGTTTGAGGGTGGTAAATGGCTTTGAACCACGTTGCACCAAGAAGGGACCAATAAAATGTGACTTCGGACTGTGGATCGCCGTTGAAGACCCTCAGACATCCTCAGACCATGCAAGACCTATCCAGCCCATCCATATTACCAATATCAATTTCGGGAGAAAGGATCCCGTGCTTCATCACATCCTATTTTGGGCATGACCATACCCCATTGATCCGTTATTTTTCTTTGCGGGACAATTTGTATCCCCGTGTGCCACGGCCAACGACCCCGTACGCGGGCCTTCATCTGCCCAACCTCCTTCCAAGGGGACGCCCCCTGGGCAGCTGGTTTCTTTGTGGCTCAATGGGCAAAAATTCCAAACGAAGGGCGATTCTACAGGGGTTCTCCCATATGCCATATTTCGATGTATTTTGGATGTAAATAGGTTTTCGTTATAAACCAATCCAAATCACTGTCCCCAGCATATCTTTCCATTGCAAGTATACCTGGATTAAACACCAAACTATGTTTTTTAATCGTCGGCGCCAGCATCATCATGAGCGGCCCGCGAGCTGCGTGGGGTAGATCTTGGATACGTCACTCGGTTCGGTGGTGAGTCTTTGCTTTCATATATAATCGTTTCCCCCTGAATATCAAACATTCCTAGAAAACATGGGAAAAGGTAAGGGATTTGCAAATATTTGGGACCATTTAGGAGGTGTCTAGTATTAATTAGGGGGATGGTATTATTAAACCTATCAAGATAATTCCGAATGCACATGTGCATGGGTCAAATTTTAACACTGCGCGACTTGATGACCCATCACAAATGTTGACCAGTACATTGCTAGTACACACCCTCCATTCCCTTTTCTGGTGCACAAGGAGCTGTTCACCCATCCCCACATACGAGGAGTTCCTTGAACATAACCATAGAATTCAAAAAGAAATGGTTTGGAAGATAATTGTCCTTTTCAGCCTGGCAATTCTTGGGATTGCAACTTTTTGCTTGCAAATTCATCGTTTTTGATGGGGGAAGCCACATGTTTCATGGTGAAATCAACATTGTTCCAGGCCAAACTCACCATTTTTCCAGGCTAAACCCAACATTTTTCCGGGCGAAACCCACCATTTTTGACCCCTGGCACCTCGAATTGCCACAGCGACACCAGTCCACCACGGTGACCCAGAGCCATCATCCGATGCGCCGTGGCACTTCCTCCATATGGAGGTTTCTGGAAAATCATCGAACTAAATGAAAGATCATTAAACTACTATCATATAAATATATATATATATCATATATGATATAGATATAGATGCACAATGGTTGTTGATCAAAATTTCTTTATCCAGGAACGGCCGTTCTTCGCGAAAAAACTGTTACTTTCGCAAAACTTTCGCGAACTCCATGTTTATCTTCTGCAGGGCCCATGTTGGGCAACAATGCCCCTTATTCATCACCTGCCATAATTATAACGGATCACTTCTTGATCGCCTTGTAAACATGTAGCCAGCATCACGGAATCCCTTTTCAGGGCACATGGCTGCTGATTATGCATTTTGTGCAAGACTTACTGGCCCACCTCTTCAAAATGCACTTTGACTTTCGCCTGCTCCTTCGCAGAACTTTCGCGGAACTTTCGCGAACATATCCCTATCCGCAGACCCCAGCCATTGCAGGCTTATGAAAGGAAAAGCAAACACCAGGGGCCTTGTGTTTGGCTCTGGCAAAGCCACACTTTTGGAAGCTTGGCTGCTACATTTGGAGTTTGTTTCTTGAAGACTTCAAAAAGAAATATCACAGTAGGCAATGCCAGCAAGGATGTGCTTCAGGCTGGGGCGAAGCCTCAACTTTGGAAGCTGGAAAGGTAAATGTCCGGAGTACAGGACCACACAGTGAACTGAACCAGAACCAAACCGAAATTCTCCGGTACCCTTCTCCTGCCGGAGCCCCGGGCAGCAGGGGGTGGTAGCCCTTTACAAGTTGCATATGTACAGAATGCAATATGATTACAGTAATAATATCCAACTTTCGCGAGCGTTCCCAACATAACATGAACATACATGAACGGTCTTTGCAGTGAAAACTCTTTACAAGGACCTTTAGATCGATCACCATAGAGAGAAAGAGAGAGAGGGAGATTGTTTTTCATGTGTTGTGCCATTTTACATGAAAACCCACCCAGCAGTAATGGATTTCCGGGTAGGTGTGTGATAGATCAATGAAAAGATGGCGCCCTTTGACGGGCCAAAAGCGGTGCCATGGTCAAGTTAATGGAGAGCAGCCTTTTCTAATGGAGGATTTCCCAGGCTACGATTATTGACCAGGACGCACATGATCTATAGCACCACAAGGATCCACAAGGATGTATTTCTAAAGTCTTCTACTATAGTTGTGACTGTGGGTTATTAAAAAAATATAAAAATAGCATCAGTCTAGTCCACGGCTTGACGGCTTGAAATATCTTGAGATCGGCTAGTCAATTGTATGAATCATCCAAGTGTAGGGGTGAAAATTTTGAGACCTATTCAAATTTAATATCAAATTGCGCCTCGCATTTGCCAAGTCCAAGACTCTGCGAATGTTGCCCAAGCAGGTCACACGAGCTTTGCGTGCATCCTGCACAATGCGATGTCACCCTAGAAACCACCCAAAGCTGGCTGGGTATAACAGAACACAATTGAGACATGGTCGCATGTCGTATTTGGCTCTTCACCAAAACCCTGGTACTCTCGTTGTCACATCCAAATTGTTGGCAAATGGAGGGTCATCCTCCCATTCTTATTGGAAAATCATAGGTTTTGAACCGTCCCCAGTTTGTCGATCAAACATGTTTCCTTACATGTCCTCTGCAACCATCAACTTTGTTTAAACTTGTTTGAGCGGGTTACGGTAACGACCACTTACCAACCAAACAAATCCCCCCGAAAAAAACAAAAAAAAACAGGAGTGCTGCAAAACCCCCAAAACCCCCAAAAACAGGTGCAAGAAATCTACAGTACTATCCTCCCCATCAATCCATCAGCTATTGTTTCCGGTATCGGTGTTTGCCCAGCCTCCACAGGTCCCAAAAGCTGCCACTGCTGCCCTGGCCGGGCCACAAAGGTCTTGGTGCTCCCTGGCGCGGCTAAGCGCTAAGCCAGGCCAGGCCATCATTGGATGACCTCGTTAGATCCAATACATTCCTCGTTAGGGCTTCGTTTGGAGGGCTTCATATCAGGGGGGAGGGATGGTTTATGGTATATAGTATCAATAGATATCAATAGATATCAATAGATATCAATAGATATCAATAGATATCAATAGTATCCAAGAATTAGAAGTTGAGTAGGTGGGCTGCATTCAGTGAATCTGTCCATAGAGACGATATGATCAATTTTTGATTTTAGGAAGTTCTCATGCTCCCTTTCAGACCACACTGCTGGGATGCGGGATGTGGATGCCTTGTAGGCTTCTCAGGACCAGCACCATCTCTTCCTAGCCACCGGGAGGGGGGCGCCATAGATAGATAGGGTTGGTTTAATACTAGCCTCAGTAGAACTTGTGGGGATATATAATACATACTACAGTTGCAGTAGATGGTGTTGTAAACCTATTTACTAATTTATGACTGGGGTAGAGCTGAGATATCTGGCTTCATGGACAGCGATAAGGATGCTCATGGTGAAAAGGGAACTGCGCAGTTGCAAGCCAGCCATCGCAGTTGCATTGGCTCCCGACCCAACTGTCCAATTTGAATGTTTCGATCTAAAATGATCTGAAAGTCTAAAATGATTTACGTAGTTGAATCCTCGGCAATGATTTCTTTTTCATATATATATAATACATATATAATACATATACTAGAATATGAATACTCTTGTTGTCTGTCCTTTCTTTCATAGATCTATCTTGTTGTTCCTTGTAGCCTCCGTCCTAAATTGCACCAAATCTTCATCACATCCCATGGTATTTCTCCACATCGCAACGGCCATGAGGCATCCCCATTCTTGGACAAACCCATTTCAATCATTTCATGAAGGCTGATTCGATCAATCCCCAAAGCTGACTGATGGCAATGTTATTCCTGGTGAATAAGCCCTCAACATGGCCCCAAACATGGCCCCTGGGGGGTGATTCAATCCCCATTCCGTCCCTGAGGCTCCTAACATCTGCGCGACGAAATCGGCTAAGGACTCCACCCTGAGGGATCGCAGCCCGGGAATTGATTGCTACATTCAAAATTGCGAGAACCGAATTAGCACAACTGACCGTTTTGTTGTTCTGCTTGACAATTGAAATTGGGATTGACAATCGAGATTCTAAGACCTCTCAATTGAAGTAACCCGACCTTTGAATCTAGTATATCGAGTTGCAACCACAGGTACTGTAGCAGCCCCTGGCTAGCTGGAGTTGCCATCCAAATAAAGAAGAAATACAAGCCACGGATTTGGTCGCAGAAAAACAATCCACTTTTGGTCACATCTCCACCTTTCTGGTTGCGGATGTTTTCCATTGTTTTCCTGATTGAATCATATATTGAATCCACATCCATGTGTCTACTGGTTTTATCATTCCCACCTGTCCCAACCCAGGGTGTGGTCTTAGCAGGGCGCATCGATGTGTTCTCCCACCATCTGCATGTCTCCGCTCACCCGATCAGGGAGCCTCAGCTGGGGTCTTTTAGGATGATGCTAATGGTCGCATCATCCCAAACATGGATAAACATGGATAAACATGGTATGTTGATGAATGTTGTAACATCTTGGAGTGTTTCGAAGTGTCAAATGTGTCAACCAGCACCTTCTTGGCCAACAGCTTGAACATCGCTTGAAAATTTGGAGATCGGCAAAAAGGTCCCTTGGCACAAAAACTGAGGTCTGGCACACATGGGAAACCTGCCAGCGCCGTCCATCCGTCGCCTCGCCGATGTTTTTTTCTATGGGGACTCAAGCAACAAGGGCAAATCTTCACCAGCAACAACCACGTCGGGGCTCATTAAGTAAGGTTTATGAACTTCATGAACCATCTATTGTTGGGGCACCAGTCTTGTCGCTTCGCGGTCCAACAAACCAATTTACAGTACCTTGGTGCAGATATAACGTCTGGCAATGAAACATGGCTGGAAATCCACCATTTATAGATTAGGATTAGGATGGAGTTAATACTGAACCTAGACTTAAATCATCTTAAATCTGTGGTCCCCCACGTCATTAATTTCGACCCATACCCAGATGAGTTTCCCATTTCAATGGCCATTGATCGGGGATTTCCCAGCCATGTTCCCATATTTGATGACACCGGGAGCTGAGCTTCCACACTAAGTGGAAAGTGATCAAGCCTGCCTTCAATGGGATTCATTCTGTGAATCAATCAGGGATGAAAAGGCGTTTGACACCATTATAATACATCCAGAAATGGGATGAAATGGGTAGACAACAGCTCTTCCGATCTGCAAGTGATGGGCATAATCTCTGTTGATTGAAAGGGTCATTCAGGTTTTCTTTGACCTTGTTTTTGCTTCTGAACAGTTGGCTGTGGTTCAAAAGTGGGGCGCCCATGGACCCACAACAATCGAATCGTTTGGTATTGAAATGTAGTGAATCATCCAAATTTACAGGCTTGAATAGTTTCGATATGTTTTGAGCCAATCCATTGTTGGTTTCGTCAGTATCCCCATGTTAGGTCCCCATTTCTTAGTTGATTGAAATCACCCTTTTTTATTTGCAAGACTTGATTCAAATGAATTGAGCTCCCCTGGCCCCTGATGCTCAGTTTGTTTTTGAGTTGATAATCCATTCCCCCCATCTTATTACCCTCCCACAAACCGCGGGAAAAAGTGGGCGATGAATGAGAAATCACATATTTGGGACCATACAATGGAGGTGCTTACAGTAATCTTAGGGTGGGATTACTGGGTCATTATCCAGCCATTATCATGGGGATATCTTGCTGAGTTCATTTTTGGCCAATAATATTACTGATATCAAAATTATCCAATATTCTCCAACATTACTAGTGTGGGTAAGCCAATAGTAAACCTACCATTTGGGGGTATACAGCCCTTTTGTGGTGATTTTGAGGATGGTTTCTGGCACTGGGTTTACCACATCACTATTGCTAATATGAATTGTTGATATTAATATTCAACATTTCTATTAACGATAATCAGTGCTATAATTATCCACTATTACTATGAAATTAGCCGCTATTACTGTATTCAATACTACTATTCAATGTTAATAATCTATATCATCAATAATACGGATTTGTTCATGATCTATAATAATTCATCCTTATATTTATGTGTGGGTATATATATATATCATAATGATCCCATATTTTTTTTAATATGTCCATTGATGATCAGCTTCAGACCTCCCATGGCATCCACGGCACCCGGCCTCATCTCCCAGGCCTCCAGGTGTGTTGGCGGGAGCATCACCACGAGTCCTGAGCGGCGAAGTTTTTTTCCTGGACCTGAGCGGCGCGATCGAGCTGAATAGATGTGGAACAGTTTGGATTTCCCATGTCTATATATATATATATAATAGTAATATATATATATATAATGTATTTTATAATATGTACATATACACAGTATATATTATATATACTATATGTTGATTCCTTCTCCCAATATTAAATACCCACCTTTTTCACCATGGTTTTTCAACCGTTGGATCTGTTCAGTTCTGTGCATGTGGGGGGGCCAATCTTCAATGGGAATGGTTTCTGTAAGCATGTGGGGCTAGAAAACCAACCATTCTCGGAATATGCTGACCAACAGTATGATGTTGGCATGTCCGCAAATGTTTCAAAAAGCCCCTTTCATCCCTCAGCGAAACACCTCATTTCCCAATTACAGCGCCAGAAACTGGAGTACAGCCAATGTTAATCCATTTTTTTGGCAAACACATATGCCCAATCTCAGACAAATTGCAACAAAAAGATACATAATACAAAAGGTCCATCTCTGACAGCGTGATGATATTCCCATCGTTTACAGCGAAAGCAACCGACCTGGCTGGAAGCTCCCCCCGCGAAAGATTTCCGTGCTGAAATGTTCGATAAATGAATGATGCTTGGATGCTTGGTCGATGATAAGGCATAGGGGATTATTACCAATAATTATATAAGGAATATCACAATGCCTTAAGGGAATCCTGCTCTTAACCAGATTCTAATTTCAGCCCATGTTTGTTTTCTGGAGGGTATGAGCCAACGAAAAGTACCACAGTGGTTGGGAAACTCCAAGGAACTTGAGGAAAATTACTGCAAAATCCAGAAAACGTTATGAAGATGTCCCACACTACATGAGCATGGGGCCATGGGGCCATGGGGCCATGGTGCCATGGTGCCATGGGACCCTGCTTTTTTGGGGGGGACAAAGACATGGCTCCGGGGGCTCCCAACTCTGGATCTGTCACCGCCTCGCAGGTCTCATCTGCCTGCAAGGGTGACCTAAGCAGAGTCGTAACTCCCTGGGATGATTACGGATCCGACGGATCGGAGCTTGGGTCTGAACCAGCAAAGCCAAAGGAGCCACAGCGCATGGCGCATCGCTCAGGGAGAATCACTGGGATGATTCAATTGGAAATCTATGGGAAACGTGGTTTTACCATGTCTTATCACCCGAACATGTCTGTAGATTTTCCATGATTTTCCCTAGAACCAAGCCTACAATACAACAGAATGGTACTAGGTAAGAAACAGAATATACCTCAAACATCCTCAGAGGTTCTGTGGCTTCGGCGAGCACTTTGGCACTTTGACGTTGCTATTGGTGGGTCAACAGTTAGACCCCAAGAAATCCATGGATGTTGGCGTTGGTGGTCTGTCCACGATCCACGGGTCGCCCTGATTTTGACACTGACTTATGTTGAACAAACAAAACAGTGCAATTTAAGACAGCTGTTGAATTGGGATTCGCTTCTGCTAGCTGTTTGGATGCTTGGAAGATTGCTCGGAAGATTTGAGCTCCAAAGATTGCAAAGCGGCAGAATCCAGAGCTATCAGCTCATACAGAAGCATGGCCAGCAATCGTGGTCAGAAAACTAGCGTTGCGAAACAGAACAAATGATTTTGGGATGCTCATGTACCGAGTTTTGATGGCTTGTTAGATAGATAGCTAGATATCTAGATAGCTAGATAGCTAGACAGCTGTAGCATGCTGTAGCTCTCCGATGACCACCAGACAAAGGTGAAAGAATGGAATGCTACAAGTAGCATGAATTATCTCTTAAATCTTAACCCATTGCCATCTTGTGGCCCTTTGCGGTATCCCAAGGGCCAATTTGTCCAGCAAGATCCTTGCACAGCATCACGACTTGACAGATCCATCTTTTGTCGCCATCCGTCTTATTGTGCAGAAGCGAGCAGCATTGGCGTCGTGAAACGCTATAATTGTAACTTGTGTTGCTGCTTGGTACAATCCAGTCTGTGAAATGCATTGCCATCCTCAGTAACCCCTGTTTTGATGCTGTAATGCCTTTTCCATCCCTTCTTCCATATCTTTTGCATGCTTTCGCCATGCTCAGTCATTTTGGAGGTTATGGTCTAATTATCCTTGATCATCCACGAGATCTTTTAACCGGCTAGAGAGTGAACCGGTTGCTGTTTCCGCAGCTTCACATCTCCGACCTCGGAATGGCCCGCAGGCAGTGAAACACCCGTTGTTTTTATGGAAGACATTTGAAAACAAAAACATTCAAATCATTCAAACTAACCAACCAGCTATAGGGATGTTCCCCCAACTTGAAACAAACTTTGGCATCTATTCACTCTCACCAGTTGTGCACCTTGTCCTTGTCTTAGAGGTCGAGTTCCGGACTCCGACTGCAAGGAAATTCGCGAAACCTTGCCTGGCGCTGAGATCACCCCATACTCCCGCTTTGGGGGGGATCAGCAACAAAAATGAAGCTTTAACCGCTTTAACCTACAAAAGTGGGGGGCCAAATAATGTAAGGCCCTCAATATATTGGGGTTTTATAGATGAAGGTATGAGATTGTGCCTATGAATCCTAAAGCCCCAAATTCATTCACGACACCAATAGCTCATAGCCGAATAGATTCAGTACTAAACCATACTAAACCACACTACACCCAGGTTTTTGTTTGAGAAATTATCTCATTGGTTCATTTGTGGAATGGGATTCCCTTCTGCAATCCCATCACATGGATAGGCGAAGACGGCGAAGATGCTGAGCAGCCGCACCATCTGAAGCTCCAACTACCAAGGTATCTTTACTAAGCCATGCCTCAGGCCATGGTCCCTTGGACCCAAGGAAATCCTTGCCTTTGCCCCACTGACTTCTCTGAGCAATTGAGCAGTGTTCACTACCCTTCTACCTAATATATTGGGGATTGTCACAATCCATTGTGATCATCCCTATTCACCGCCCGTATAAGGGAATGACAGAGGGTTTCACACTGCTCAATTGAAGTCGGTCGTAGTGATTTTGTAATGCCCGCACCCACCTCTAGTGAGTTCCCTTCACAAAAAAATGATCCTGACGCCACTGACGCCCCATTGGGATATGTTGCATCCATCCCCATCCACACAGGTTTTTGGACACTGCCACCCTCCATGCTATCTGACGCCCGGACCACACAAAGGAGCTTGTTGGGCGTTGGCACTTGCTTCCCCACCTCACAACAGCGGATTCCGTGAAGATGTCCAATGTGGAACACCTCCCAAGCCCTAAACCTCGAGAATAAAAAACCATTTCTGGTACAAATGGGGGTGACGTATTACTGTCTTTGCCACATTCGATCAAAATGCATTGCAAAAGAGGATAAAATATCTTCTAATTTAACATAGCTATGGAAAATCACCTCATATAATATATATATATATAATATATATAATAGGTATTTTATCGAACTAAACGGGGCATCTATACCATAGCCATAGCAAACTGCAACAAATTACCACGGTGTAGATGTCATGGTGTACCTACCCCCTCAAACGCATGCTGATGCAATCCCACCAATCCAGGGCCCTGCGACGGGTCTCCCCTACCCCAAAAAATATCCTATGACCCTCTGGTAGTTTGTTACATAGACATGGACAATAGCTAAAAAATATGTTGTAATAAATTCAGAAGCGATTTTGAACATGGCCATTGAAACAATGGTAAACTGTTGGAGTACTAGAGTTTCTAGAGGCTATTTCTCCAATTTCAACAGGGCTTCAGTACGGTGACTATGGCATTGACAAAACGGCGCCAGTTCAAGAAATGTCCATAGTCGACCCAAAGACCGTCAGTGATGATGACATGTATGAATAGCATACAAATTACTACTGAGTGTGTTTTCTATGATATTGACATATGTTCACTCTTGCAGTTTACCTCATGAGCCTCATGATTTCATGATTAGAATCATGTATGTCACCTATATGATATGTCTGGCTAAATTACAAAAATTCACAAACCTCAAGATGAGCCAAAATGGGGATTGTTCCCCGTACTAACCATCATGCCAGTGGCGTTGCGTCGTTATGATTTCTCCAGATGGAGCATATTGATTTCAGGTGGTGATATATATATACCTACATAGATATATTATTATGAACTATTATCATTATTGTTGTTGTTTATTATTATCATGACTACTATTATCATTGTTATCCCATTAAGATTTCCCCAAATCTCTTGTCACCTGTCTGATATACCCTCCTGTAGATCATCTTCCGAACGGATTTCCCAATGGGTTTTCCACATCGAACTGTTGGTTGGCCATTTTGAACATGTTTCCCCTTACTAATCATCATTCCAGTGACGTCACAGCGATTGTAAGTTACAATAATTATACCCACAGTTATACCCATCAATAACCATGAATAGCCATTTTAATAACCATAAATAACCATTGATAACCATTAATAACCATTAGTAACCATTGATAACCATTAATAACCATCAATACCTGTTGGTAACCACTAATAACCATTGATAAATGTTAATTAATAACTGTTTAATAACAATCGAAAAATATTGATAACCATTGATAACCGTTGATATCCAGTGATAACAATTGATAACCATTAATTACCATTGATAACCATTGATAACGCATGTTAACCCATGTTAACCCATGTTGAGCCATGTTGAGCCATGTTGACCCTTTCATTCAGATCGGTTCACAGGCCGTCCCTTTTTCGGTACCGAAGCACTGGCACCGCTTGCAGCGGCATCCGCAAACAGCGAGGATCCAGGATGCACCTCGGTGCGTGGGAGTGCACTCGTCGGGAGCGAAGAAACCTGGGCACTTAACAAAATAGAAATGGTGTAATATATATTTTATCAATATATATATATGTGTGTGTATGTGTATATATATATATGTATATATATATATTATTATGTATTTTATATAATATGTAAACAAGTTAATACATACAGTGTATATAGTTGTATATAGTATATAGACTTCAGC